AGGTTTTCAAGAACAGGCATAAAGCAGGACCACTGCCCAGAAGCACTTCAAAATCTTTGTACACAGAAGATAAGCATATAACATTCAGATGCACTATAGTTATGAGTTCAGAATAGAGAAGAGCCATCAGTGAGCTGGAGTAATCAGTGAGGTTTCAAGGAAGAGCAGAGCGAGGGAATTTTAATGCACGAGTTGGGCTGTGAAAGGCAGATGAGATTCATAAAGAAGAAACAGGGTGCATATTTCAGATCTAGTGAAGATGTTCAGGATGGGTGGTAGGAAGGAGAGGCAACAGAGTGGCAGGAGGAAACTGAGATGCAGATAGATAGGCCTAGTAAATGGAGGAGTGGATGAGCTGCAACTGAAATCTAGGTCTCTAAGCTTTCATGTGACTTTGCTCCTCCTAACTGGTCTTCCTGCCTCCATCTGGGCACCCCTCTCCAAGAAATACTCCAGTGTATTAAGTGTCCTTCTAAAACACAATTCTGATTAGGCCAGTATTTTGCTTAAATCTCCTCAATGGTGTACTGTGGCTTTCAGAAAGAAGTTGATACTCTAACATGATATACAAGTACAAATATCCATCATGACCTGGACTCCTGTCTTGCCAATGGGTTTCAGCCCCAGGCAAGTTCACTATGGCTTCAGTGTGACCAAAGAAAATGACAGTAAAACGTTCTTGGGGTGAAAGGATTATACCCAACTTTATTTCCATGGTGGCAGGTCAGTCACTAGAATCTCGTCCACTCAGAGCGAGTCTGCATGCAGCAAGCTGGTCTCTGCCTCTGGGCCCCTCTGCCTGGACAGTCATCCTGCACAGCTGTCCTCTGGGCCTCTGTCCTCAGCACTGCCACCACTCCAGCCTCTGCTCTCCTGCAGCCTTGCAGCCGTGCCACCATATAGAGCAGAGTGCTGGGCGGAGCTCCTTATATCAGTCAATATCAACATATTGCCCACACGTGTGCAGTGATCTAGCCAACCAGGGCCAGGTGAGAATCCTGGCCACAGGAACTCTCATTTTATCCACAACTCCCTTTTCTAGCAGGTCCACAATAAGTATACTTTGTTTCAGCCATTAACATCTACCCACAGTTCCTTTATTGGGCAGGCTACCATATCTCTCTACCTTGAAACACGTTGTTCTTTCAACATAAAATGCCTTTCCCTGCCCTCCTTCAATTAATGCCTTATTCATCAAGCATTAGTGGAAATGTCTCCTACTATGGTAAGCCTTTTCTTACCACACTCAAGAATCCAACTGGATTTAAATGCCTTTCTGTTATTTTTTATTTCACCCTCCTATGCATCATTCCTTATCACACAGCTAATCGATAACTTCCCTTCTTCCCTCACTAGACTATAAGCATCTTTATATCACCAACACTCAGGATAAAAATACCTAGCATGTAACAGGTGCTTAGTAACGGTTGCATAAATGAAACTCATCATGTTCAGACTTTATCAATTAAAATCAAAACATGATTTATCCAATTAAAAACCATATTCTCAAGAAGTTATACAATAACCAGAAAACTAACGTGTTTTACTTCCAGTCACTAGTGTCACTATACTATCTAAAGAACCAAAGGCTTCAGGAATTATACCGAAACGAAACACAAAGCCGAAAAGCAAAAACACCAAAGAATGTTAAGCCGCTCTACACCATTGTGTGTGTGTGAAGGGTGTTAGCTCTACCTTAACACTAGCTTCTCTTAATGGTTAAGGTACGCCTTAGGTACGTGGAATTCAAGATATAGCTCCTTCATAACACTTTGAGAGCTCTACTACTCTATTTAACAAAATTCATTCCATGGTTGACATCAAAGTACTGATTAATCTAAGATTCACAGTGTTTGATGGCATGCTACAATCTGGGCCTAACCAGATAATTACATAAAATACAAAGTGCTACTACTATTATGTCATTCAAAATGTGATAAGTCCAAAACAAAGTTGCCTTGAATCAAAATAAAAGGGTTATAAGGATGCATAGAAGAGAATAGTTGAATTATTGAATTTTTATTTAATTCACGTTAAACAGAAGTCATTCAAATCCTGAAATGTTGCTCTGAAAAAAATTCTAATACCTGTCAAAAGGTTACAGATGTAAACAAAAGTAGTTCCTCTCTATAGGAAACATACTTCCCTTCAGTTTTCCAGAATAAGGAAATGAAAACAACTGAATCATAAGCTTTATACTCTATGAATCCATTATAATATAGTTATTGAGTTAATTTTTCTATATAGTGGAAACTTTCATTTTAGCTAATACTATACAGACGTTTCATAATTAACTTTTTACTCCCAGATGAATTATCTTCAATTACGATCACTCATGTGGCCAGTGCTATTTCCCTTTATCACTGACCTCCTCCTCTCCCCAGTAACTTTGAATAGAATCAACTAGCATTCCCTTTACTCTGACTTTGGTAACCCAAGAGTTCATATTCTTTTATAGGTGACAGATGCCTTTGAGAAACTGATGAAACTACGGAGCCCAGGAAAAAAGAATGTATCTACACACACTCAAATCTCTCTTACAATTTCAGGAGTTCAAGAATCCCTGTCCGGCACAATCACTTATACACATAATTTCTATTACCATATGGCTCTCTTATAATCCCACACTACACCACACACAATTAAGGACTATAACAGTAATTAACATAATACACAAAATACTAAATTAGTCTAAGGTAGAGCTTTATCTTACTAGCAATATTTTAAATTAAGGATCCCAAATGAACTCCTTCCTAAAAGGCCTTAGAAGAACAAGTTTAGCACTTCAATAAGACAACTCAAAACAAGGACTAAGGCATCTATAAAAAGAGGTTTACCAAGTCTTGTTGCTTGCCTTAGTACGAGCTGAAATGTCTTCCTAAATTTATCTTTATTAACTCTGACACATCTGCTTGTAAAATTATTTAAGGCTCAAAAGTTGGGCTGGAACAAAAAAGAAACTTCCCACTGATACGAACAAACTTTTGGATTCAAATACCTGTTCTACTACATCAAGCTATGTTTAACACTGAACCGTGGTAGCTCAGAACTGAAAGTGATACCGTCTCATAACTATCTAGTTACCTTGTCTAAGCTAGTAAAACATCAAAGATGAAACAGGACAAATGACCGAAGGAAATGGAAGAATATAATCAAGGTGTTATAACTAACAGAGATAAGCACTCTCTTGAGAGCATACTTCCTAAAAGTGGAATGTTCCCACTGGTAAACCAAACTATTTGTGGAAACCATCAGTTCACTTTTATTTTTGCTAAAATTTTGGTCACTGCTTAAGCCATAAATTTTTACTGGATTAAAAAAAAAGCAAACAGGATCACTCTTTTACCACAAACTGATAAATTTCAAAATCACGACATCAGAATTTTTAAATACATTAAAATGTGTTGATACACTTACCAAACTTGTCTAAGTTTCATGATGGTGGGGTCACCCATTAAACCCATTAACCCTCTGCCACCAGACAATTCACAAAGAGCTTGTAACTCAGTTTCTTCACTTGTAAATACTGGGTTAACAGAACACAACAAGGAAGCAAGTTTTCTCTCAGTTTGCCTCAAGTTAGGATTGGATTCATGAGGCTATAAACTGGTCATTTTATTCTACCCTACTATGTCCCTTTCCACATAATGGAAACTTGCGTATTTCCTGAAACCATAACGCTTTGATCAACGTTTTCCAATATGGACAGTCTGTAATTGATAGGCAAACAGTTATGTAGGAAATGGCCAGATGCCATAAGAAACAGTTTTAGTTTTATGTCACTGTTTCCTTCCTTATTATAACCAAGTTGCTGGTTAAAACTGAAAACTAGATGTGCAACATGTGGCTTGTGCTTAAGACCCAGACTAAGACCCTTCAGACTGAAGTATTTCCTAAACATGTGCAGGAAAACAGTTTCCCTTCACGCCGCCTGAATTAGAAAGTTTATTGACAAATGTTGGTGTAATATTTACCGTGATTGGGAAAAATTGTCTTAGCCAATATACTTTGTTAATTTGACCGGCTTTTAAGTGTCACTGTTATTAAATCATTTTTATATAAACTGAAAAAAAAAGAGGAACCCTTTTAACTGGTGAGTTGAGGAAACTCCAGTATTTCCCAATCTAATACCAGGCCCCATAGATTTCATTCCTCACCACTTTTAAGTCAGTGGCAGGAAATGGACTGCTACCGCTGTTTTCACACACTCTCAGGACAGTGAGATTTGTGCAGCCTGTCTACTGCTTTTGAGCGTTCCGAATCAACTTAGTGGAAGTACTGTGTGCCATTGCCTACTACACACACACGACAGGTGGTGGTACCTCACCCAGGCTCCAACACCCATGTTACCCCCACTCTTCCAAAGAAGTGTTTTTTGGGAAAGCACATGGAGAGGCAAAGAGAAAAAAACGCACGTAGGCGCCTCTTCCTGAGATTTCTGCTCAAGTAGAAAGACTGGGGGCCTACACTTTGTGTTTTTCTGGGGGTTTGGGGTTTTGGGAGATTTTTTTTGTGGATGGGGGGCTTGAAAGGGTGGTTTGATTTGCAGATCTGTGGGCGAGCTTCCAAGTATTTGGACTTAAACGAAGAAAGGTTCCCCTGCCCGTACCCTAAGCGTTAAGAGGAGGCAGAAACCAGCAACTGACAGAGGTGGGAGGGGAATGCAATCTCGCGAAGAAGGTTCGTGCCCACAAGTTAGACACAGCAGTCCCTACCCGGTACTCGGGGTCTCCCTAAGTTGGGGTGGGGCCCTTCTCCTGCCTGTACTGCTTCCCGGGCTGACAAGAGTGGGAAAGGGGTCGAGGGGAGCAAGGGGTGCTCTTCCGCCCCCACGCCGTCACCGCGCCTCGGCGTGGCCGCTTCTTTAGCGGCTCCCCGAGTTGCACAGCGAGGTCGCGGTCACCCTTGGGAGGGGGCCCCGGCTCCCCCGCGTTCAACGGCAGGAGGATCCCGGGGCCCTCGCTGTCCCCAAGGCCGGCGGGGGCTGCGGGAGCACTCACCAGTTTGGGTTTGTTTTTCGTTTCCTCTTCGTTGGCGGCCCGGTTCCCCACGCTCCGCTTGTTGCTCCGGCCCCCACTGGGTTCCTCGCCGCCGCCTCCCGCTCCCGACGCCGCCGCGCCGGGCTGCTCCATCTTTCTCCGGCCCTGTCACCTGTGCCCGGGAACCCCACCTCTCCTCAAGTGAGGAAGTCCCTGGGGCGGTCCCGCTGTCCCGCGCTGATTCGGCAGTACCTCTTGTGGGGAGAGTGTCAGCCGCGAGCTGCCGATTTCAGGCACCCCCGACGCAACACGCCGTTGCCACTACTCGGCGCTGGGGCAAGCCCTGCCCCTCAGCAGCTGCAGTCACCACGGTCGCCACCGCCCTCAGGGCGGTGTTGAGGGCGGAGGAAAAGTAGATCCTATCTCTTTAAGAGGGCCTCAACACACGTGATTCATCAAAGTGCCCGCAGGCAGCCGCCCGGGCGCGGAAAGCTGCTTCCTACTCCCTGGGCCGAGCGGGCTCTCTCTACTGAGCATGCCCGGCGCAGCGTCGCGAGTCGCGGGAGAGGACTTTAGGCTGCGGTCAAGTCCTGATTGCACTTCCTAAGGGCCAAGCGTGAAATGGGAGGCAGCTAGTCCAGAGAGGTGGTGTCGCCCATTTTAGAGATGAGGAAATTGAGAGCGCAGGGGTTTCATGTATGAGTTTCACTGACAGGTCTACCTGAGTGTCAGCGCCCACTAGGGTAGGCCCAGCACCTTCCCTGGCAGAGGCCTTGCGGGGCGGGGTTTGTCCTGGTACCCTGTGTGGGATGGGGTTGATTAGCAAGGCAACTGGCATCCCATAGGAAAACCACCATAGGGAACGCTGACTGTTTTGCCTGGACAGACGGTCTGGGTCAAAGTGGAAAGAGTGTGTGCTTTCTGTTGCGTTGATTGCTTTGCGACCAAAAAAATACAGTCGTTCCTTTATTCCCTTGCTGCTACGTGGTGCCCACCGCTTATTTCCCAGGGGGTGGAAGGCTCTTTAACCAAAGCACCTGTAGAGAGCTGACAATTGGATTGAGTGCTATTTTCAGTTTTCCGAACTAGTTTGGGTTTAGGGTTGTTGTGGGGAATGAGTAAGATCGTGTGTCAAAGCCTTTCTTAAAATGTAGATCTCTAGATAAATGCCAAGGGGTTTTGTGCAGCAGCAGCAGGGCCCTGAAAGCATTGTTAGTCTTTAGTCCTTGAGTTGTCAGGAAGAAGCCCACACTGTATTTCTTTCATGCTTTTCAAACACGGCCCTTTAAAAATAATGTTCACATTGAGAATGTTAGACGGGCAGAGCCAGATCTGAACGAACCATCATAGAATAAAAGCACGTATGCTAGAGAAGCTACCTGAAAGGTAAATTCAGACACCAAGCCTAAAAACATCTCCACATGCTTGTTATTCAAATACCTTCAGGCTATGACTCCTTTTGCCCTTCTCCCCTTCACGTAAATTCAGCTCTGCTGAATCTAATTTGTTTATGAACATATTTATTGACAGTGCATTAGGAAAAATTTGACCATGCTAGAGGCGTGAGGAGGCAATTAACTTGGACAGTAGAGTGAAGAGAACTTTAGATACCCGCCAACAGTTTTAACCCTGGCTTTCCCATTGCCATTAACTTTGTTTTTAACCGTGCAGGTGGTAAACTTCTCTAGGACAGCAAAGAGGGAATGTATGCTCCTAGACAGGGGGACAAGTAGCCCTAAGGTAAATTTGCTTTGTAGAAGTTCCTGTTTGAGTTAAAACTTGAAGTATGTTTCAAATTCAACTCACTATGCGTATGTGCACACACCCGTGATTTAAATTGCTTAAATGTTTCCCCTCCTGAAAAATTCGGTGAAAATGGATGCTGCAGAAAAACCTGACGTGTGTGTCTAATGCTTTCATGTAATTCCTGTTTGAGAGAGACAGGTGTGGGAGAGGGTTCTCCATTCTCGTACGTTGCTCAGTGATCTGCTCAGGGGACACTTATTAAGCTCCTTAGACTATACCCAGTACTTTACAGAGTGCTGTGGATTGGAAAGATGAAGCTGACACAGTTTCTGCCCTTTAAAACTTTATAGTCTGCTGGGACAGACAGGCTATTGAGGACCTGCCCTTTAGTAGGACACATAGGACCAGGGAGCCCATGGAGCACATGAGGGGGGTAACCACCTGAGTGTCAGAAGCTCCGGGACACCTTCCCAAAGAAGATGATACTTGAGCTGAGTCCTAAAGGTCTGATAAAGTCAGTAACTGTTTGTTGCCAGCCTACTAAGCATGAGGGGCAAGGACTGTAGGGGCACTGAACAAGACAGATACAGTTTGCTCTCTAGAGCTTTCAGGCGAGTAGGAAAGATACTAAACAAAAATGTATTGAGCAATTACATGGCAAAGAAGGAGAATGAAGAGCATTCCAGGCAAAAGAAATGACACTAAGCATGTGCAGAGACCCTACAGTTAAGAAAGTGGAGTGGGGGGAGAGGTGGCAGGGGAAGGCATAAGGTTGCTGTTGCCAAGAGAAGAAGCAAAACACATAAGCAGCTTCCAGATCATGAAGGTCTCTACGTGTAGGTCTCATTGGTGTTGTCTTAAAATGGGGGCCAGGGGGAAGGCGAAAGAGGCATTCTAGCATAAATGACATCTGTTTGGAGTGTGCAAATAGACTTGAAAATAGATGGACATTATTTTGAATGTAAGGTTGGCTTTCACCATCCTCAGGCCCAGTGAACCTACATTTGAAATCTAATTAGAGGTGCTTATACAAGATGCATAATCTTTACTGCAAAAAGTGAAAAAAAAAATGACTCATGTTTGACTTTATTCTGGTTATCTCAGCTCTGTCTTAATTCTTCATGTTTGTTTTTCAGCATTTTGCTCCGGTTAATGTAAACAGTAATTAAAAACAAACATCTTTCCTTCAGGCATCAAGGGCACTGGCCTCTCTTGGAAGTTAACACATGAAAGGAGCCACTGCCCTCTCATGAGGACGCTCTGTCCACTGATTGAGAACCACACATCTCACCATGTGCAGTCCTAGGGCTGATCTCACTGCACCTACTTCCATATTTTTACCTTCCTTGACCACACAAATATGCTGGTAAAGGGAAAGACATCTTTTCTCAGATGCTGAAGAAAGGAGGAGGCTACCACCATCAATCGGGGTATCAAAAGCTTATGTTAGACTTGCTGACCTTGTGTTCTCTCCCTCTGGCCTCTCGTGAGTTTAGCACCCAGTCAACTTTAAAACGCCATCCCTGGGAAGAAAGACAAAAGGCTGCTAGGCTCTATCTTTCTTCAAATTGACCTTATTGCCATCTGTTACCCCAGAGGTTTCTGAGGATCCTTCTAATATCCCTCTGGCTTTCTCTGTCTCCCTTCTGCTGCGTGTTCTCATCTAGACAATCTAAGTCATTAATAGAGAAATTAAGAACACATGGATTAGACAGAAATGAGAAATAACCACCTCCAGAGTCACAGAGAAATATTTATGAATTAAAGTGTGCCTGAGAATCAACAAGTATTTATTAAGCACATACTATGTGGTCTACACCAAACTAGATATCACATGGATAAAAAAGTACCAGACATCCTGCTGTAATGTCATATGCATCTTCTAAAGAATCTCCTGTTCTGCAAAATTGCGCACTAAAAATAACAGGGCTTCCAGGAAAAACACGGTTAGGCAAGATCACTTAAATCTAATGGAACTTTGTAACCAGAGCACTAATGAACACAATAACCATCCTAATAAAAACACTCACAAGGTTAAATCTTCACTGGCCTTTGCACCTGGTACCTCAGCCATCAGTGCTTGGTAGCCTTCAGGCATCCTCTTTTCCAGTATGGATCCTCAGGGTTATTCACGGTTCACAGAGGCCACTTTCATCAGAATTACAAATCTAGTTGAGGAGTGCCCAACTTTTTAAAAACGCATAATGAAAGGTCTTCAGAGCTTCATTATGAGTACTTAAAGCTTCACCAGATATTTTAATGTTCTGGGAAATGGAGAGGTTGTTGAAGCCACTAAATCAGACACACAAAAGGGCAGAATCTTGAGCAGGATTGTCCTTTTTCTCTTAAAGTCTTCAGGTATCACCAAGACACCTCCTTAATGGGGAGAAAGCTTGCTCCTCATCACTTGGAAACTTAAAGTGCTCAGAAACTTCACACGTAAAACAACTGGACTTCTACAGTATTTGGACATCATTCTCCTATTTGCCAGTAGTTAATATGCTATTTGTGAGACACAAACACTTGTAGGAAAACAGATTGTAAAATATGAAATTTGTGCCATCAATAGGTATACAATCTACTTGACAAAACAAACAAGAAAACAAATGTGTGGAACAGTAAGAGAAAATTAGCTGCCTGACTCGGAGGTACCGACTCTAAATTCAACATGACATGATGAAGGGGTGAGATTACTTGGGTTTAGAATAGGTGAAGAAAAGTTAAGGAGGAAGTAGAACTTGAACTGCCAAGGCATGAAGCAGAAATCAGACTTGAATAGGCAAAGCAAAGAAAGGAAATGAGGAAAAGGCGACATATGGAATAGCCTGGAAACAATACTCACCGATAATGAAGGGCCAGTGGGGCTTGAGCAGAATGATGAGAACATAGATGTTGAATAATAGTAGGAAACATGGTTGTCCCCATGGAGTTTTCCCTGTTTGGAAACAGATTTGAATGTAAAACATAGCAGTAACTGATAAGGATCTTTAGCAGGAAGGTTATAAAATAAGGAAGGAGATGGTCTGATGGTGGTTTGCAGAATAACTTTGAACACTGATTTTCAAAGTTATCTTTTCTTTTAGAATATGACAACGTGGCTTCTCTCTCATCCTCTGAGGCGACCCTTTGAGGCACCACTGCTGAGCTCTAGGTAAAACTAGATAAAGTCTTGCAGGAGAAAGTGGTGAAGATTGGAACTAGAGTGACCCCAAGGAAATGAAGAGAAAGGAATGAATCCAAGAGACATTGAAAGGAACAAATTGTTCCTCTCCACAGATCACATACAGGAAACAAAGGAAGGAAGAGAAGCTAAACAAGAATTACTAAAAGGTTAGCCTAAGGAAATAAAAACCTAGTAGTAAACTGGCAGATGGTATCTCAACACATACTTATGATTGACGGGCACTGCCAGACCAAGAAGCCTGAAACCTAGAAATTAAAGAGACTAATTAGGGCAGGAGAAGAAAGCTAAGAAGGTTCCTGTAGTCACAAACAGGAAGAGTCTGGGCAGGCTGGTGAAGTAGAAGGGTTGTGTAACAGTAGGCAATAAGCAGGCAGACAGCTAGACTCTAGAAATCCACAATGGATGTCTTGGCAGGCAGGCATAGTGTAGAATCCAGAGAGTCTGGTGGCAGGCAATAGGCAGAGGCTGTAGCAAGCTGTGTATAGCAGGAATCCAGTCATGGGGGTTGGGATTAGGAAGCAAATTAGCAGTGCCTTAAGAGGTCTGATAAGACAGTGCTAAACAAGGCTGGGCACC